TCTTTGGTCTACGTCTAGGTGAGCATGCTCAGCTTGCCAAAGGGGCTAACTATAAATGAGGACTGCTTTGCCTTGGAAAGAAAAAAGAATTATCAATCATTTCATTTTGGTCACTGAAGAGCTCAGACGCTCAACTATTCCAGTAAGAAGAGAATAGAATAGCCTGCATCCTAATGGCGCCCCCTATTAAGCTGGATATCCAATCACTCATTGAAGGATTTCAGAAATGCACATTAGCCATAGTTAGTTTAAAAAGCAAAACAAAACAATACAGGAATGCAGACTTTCAGTGATGACATTTTAAAAATGAAAACTCTCTTTTCCTTTGTCATTATTGGGTGTGCACAATTAACCTGCAGTAGCAAAACAACTCAAATGAATATTCGATCTCTCCATTCTCAGTTAATGACAATTTTCTGAATTATTTTTTACTTAAAAGTAAAGCTGTCCATGTGTACTAGATTGAAAAGGGCATGTTAGGAGAGATTTCCTGAATACCTTAGCTGTCAGAGGTTCGGATGTCCAATAGCTATTGATTCTTTAATGGTAACAATTACTGAACAAAAACAAAATTAAAACTATCTAATTTTTCTTTGAATGAGAAAAAAAACTTCTGTAGTTGTATTTTGCTTTTTAAAAATGCAATGGCTGAGGATGCATGCCACTATTGCAGTGGTCCCCCAAACATGCAATCATGTGGAAATAATTCTGATTTGCTTAATGTGCTTAGAAAGATAAAATATTCTCTATAAAAATCTCAATCACCAGACAGCAATAACCTGGTATCTATTTTTTTTTTATTGCTGCATTTATCTTTTCTTTTTTTCATTTAAAACAAAAGGAGAAAAGGAGTCTTTAAGGTGCTGGAATTCCAGTTATGATAACCAACATGTTTTAAATTCCACTCCAGCCTATGGTTACATTTCAACAAGTGTCTCTTTTTCCTTTTCCCTTACCTCTGCTGCTAGTCCAGGGGTAAGCAAGCTTCAAGTAACAGCAATTTTCCATTATTACATTTGCAAGATCAGACAATATGGTTTCAGTGAATGTTATACATGGACTCTCTCTGCCAAAACTTCCTGGTGTAATTTCTACGTGATACATGAGCTATAATAGCTTGAAGCTGGCCATGTCACATCCAAGTAACCTTCAACCTAGGAAATTTTATGTTGCATAAAGCAAACAATGAGAAACTCCCACGTTTATACAAATTACTTCTTTTATTATGCAGGAATAACAGAGGATGGAAAACAGACAAGATCAAATTTTAGGGCCAAGGAGGAAAAAAAAGAGGAAAGCTTCGACTCTCCAAGTACAGATAGCATTTTTTTCTTTTAGAAGAAAGGCAAAGAACATTTTTTAAGAGGAGTTTTTGATTCTTGGGATATCCTTCAGCATCCCAGTCCCATTTTCACTCAGTTAAAAACCAAAGTACCCGAATGTGTACAATATTGCTTTCCGGAAAGAAGTACAGTACTAGTGGATTAAGCTTCTGAAATAAACACTTAGAAATATGCTTTCCCTAGCTCCCGGCCAAGAACATTCCTTCACTCTTGTCAGAAAATGTTCACTGGTTACTGTTGATATGGGGTGGGGGGGGGAGGGGGGGGCGGAGAAGCTCCTCCGACCCTCTTACAAGTCCAGCTAAAATAAGGCACATGGGCTAACGCTGGCGAGCACCGTTTGAAGCCGTACGGTGATGGCGAGGCCAGGCTTCTTCTAAATGCGTTCCAGACATCACCGTACACGCATCAGAAGCCTTCCTGGGTGCACCATTGTTGGATCCAGATCCAGCGGGACCACTCGGCGGATCCCACCTCCTCCCGGTCCTAGGGGTACCTTGCCGGAGGTGGATCGTAACGGGAAAAGACGCCTGGGAACGCTGGCCAGCCTCCCCCTCCCCCGCTTCCCACGGCAGCCCCGGGGATGGGGAGAGCCCCGGCCAACTTCCCCTCCTCCCTCTCTCCGTCGCAGCCCCGGGGGTGGGAGAGAAGCCCAGGAGTCCCTCCCTCCCTCCCCCGGCCTTGCAGTTGAGCTTCGAATCTTCCCCGGCAGAGGGCACCCTATACCTTCCCTAGCTCCTCTGTCCCCCGCCACCCCCATCCCTCAATCACCCCCCTCCCCCAGCTCTCCACCCCACCCACCCCCGCCAGCAAACACAAACCCAGCCGCCTGCGCCGCTCACTCCTCAGAGGCGCGCACGCAGTCTCCCCACTCGGATACCCTCTTAGCTCCTTCGCCCGCCGCCCCAAGCACCCCTGGGACTCCCCCAATTCTAGTGGACTCCTCTTTACTCTTCCCTACCCACTCCCATTCATGAAGGCAGGAGTCTGTCCTCTCGTCCCTCGGTCCCCCCTCTCCAGGTTCCGCGCTCTCCTTCTCCCCCTCACCCCCAAATACCAGCCCTAAGCTAGCTCTCCTGCACCAAGTCGAAACTTTTGCGCCCCTTCCCTCTCCCCTCTCCCATACCAAGAAGACCAGACGGGGCCCTGGGGACTTGGAAGAGTTGGTACTGGACTTGTTAGCAAAGCCATTCTCGGAGGGAGCGGGGTGGGGGAGAAGGGAGAGGGGCTTAGGGAAGTTATTGCTGCCGGAATCTCGCATCCCGGGGCGGGGCCAGGTGTGGACTGCCAGGGAAAGCCAAGTTTTGAAAGATACTTTCGCCCTGGACCTGTCAGTTTTACTCGGGATTCAACTCTCGGGAAGCAGGTGACCGTAGCCCAGCTGGCCCCACCGGGATGGCGCCAGGGGATGAGGTGGAGGCCTGGCAGTTTAATGGAGAGGATGGGGTTCGAGAAGCGGGGCTAGTCCAGCTCTTCGCAAGGAAGGATCCCCTCCTCATCTCCCAATCCCTCATTTGGCCACGCCAACAAGAAGCTGCAGTTTTGGCCCCTCCAATTCGCCCTCGGTTCCTTTGCAGCCTCCTAATGGGATCCCCAACGTCCCTCATCCCCTCACAGTAGCCGGAGACCTCCCCAAATTCTGGCGCCCCCATTTTGCTCACTTCTCCCCAGCCCCCTCCGCCCCCCAGCCCACACGCACGTCCCAGTTCCTCCAGATTCCCGTTGATTCCGTGCCCTTGCTCCTCAGCCCCTTCTAGGGCGCACTCTCCAAGTGCCCTCTCCCCGGGTCCAAGTCCCAGCAGCCAGCCCCCCTTCTTCCGTTGGGACACACGCTTCGTTTGTCTGGGACTAGAGGTCCCAGAACTCACTCCAACCCTCTAATCCTCCTCGGGGGAGAGCCAGAGAGAAGAGCAAGCCACCCCTTCCCCAACTTGGAGGCCCCTGAGCCCTGCGTTCGCGTCCCCCGACTCCGCGAACAACTTTCTCGGGGGAACGAGGGCTGGTCCCCCACGGAACCCCGTTCTGCCCGCCCTGACACGTCTCGACTCCGAGGCTTCCCCCTACCTTAGAGTCCACACAAAGCTGGTTGGGTCCCCTGCTTCGGAGAGTCACATCCTCCTCTTCCTCCTCCTCCTCCTCCTCCTCCTCCTCCTTCTCCTCCGCGCCCCGGAGCCCAGTCCGCGCCCCAGTCCCAGCCGCCGCCGGCACGACCAGCAGCAGCAGCAGCTCAAGTGTCTCATCAAAGCTTCATGAGGGGGGGTAGGGGGGGAGGAGGGAGGGCAGGAGATGGGGGGGGCGAGCCTGGCTCCCTCACCCCCCAGGATCCCGCGGCTGCCTCAGCTTGTGTGTGTGTGTGTGTGTGTGTGTGTGTGTGTGTGTGTGCGCGCGCGCGCGCGAGCGTGTATATGTGCGTATGTGTGTGCGCGCGTGAATTTGTGTGTGTGTGTGTGTGTGTGTGCGTGCGTGCGTGTGTTTTGGGGTATATGAGTGTGAAGGAGGGAAGGAGAGAGGGAGAGAGGGAGAGACAGACAAGCGCTTGCCTTCGGCTTTTTGTCGGTCAGAAATTATTTAGATCCCTCTTTGGTCTTCCATTGGTCAAACTAACCCCAGGAGTAGCGGCGCCAGAGACACCAGCGCTGGGCCGGAGGCTTAAAGGGAAAGCGGCGTCTTTTTTCCTCCCCAGTCTCAGCCCCAGCCCCGGCCCTTGGTGAATTTTAGGACTAGTCTTTTCCACCCGAGGATCTAGGCACCAAGAATTCCTCCCGAAGGCTTCGGATCTGTCCTACTCAGGCCTCTAGTCCCTTTCCCGTAGGTATTGTGGGTCCCAGGCAGTGCCAATCTCCTCCACCACCGCCACTACCACTTGACACATTTGGCTGAGACGCAGAGACTGAACCCTTTAGCGTTGCTCCCCGAGCCTGGGCAGCCCAAGAATGGGACATGCGCCTGGGCACCCCCGGACGGTTAGCTATTGGAGGGGGGGGGGCGGAGAGGAGGTTTCAGGGCCAAGCAGAATCCCAGCCCGGTAAGTCTGCGAGACGCTGGACGTGGGTAACTCACAGTTAAGCCCAGTCTTTCTGTATGTCCCTAATTCTGCAACACCTTGGGGGAGAGGGGGGAATGTGTGGAGAGAAGGGGTACAATGGGTGGGAGAAGAGAAAAACCGGGAAAGGAGGAGCAAGGGAGCTTGAGCGTCGGCAGCTCCACTGACTCCTGGGACCCCCACTTTGCAACTTTGCTTCCTCTGTCCGGAGCAGACAAGCTGTGGGTGAGGACTCCCAGGGGAGGGAGATCGTCGAATCTCCCGAGAAAGCCGCCCCTCCCAACCCCCACCGCCTGGCCCCCTGGCCGGAGGACCACTGGGGACGTCCCCGCGGGATGTCCACAATCACTTCTCCCAAAGCGTGCCTGAGAGTGGTTTACTCGTTGTCTTAAACACCCGCCCGCTTAAATATAGTGCGCTCGCTGACCTCTCCATTGTTTGCCTAATAGGAATTCAATCAAGATAATAACAACATTTTTTATTAATGAATGCCCCGGATAACGTTACGCTAAGTTACTTTCTGGGGCCACGCAGCAGCCGGAGGCGTGACAGGCTCGGTCCTAAATCCACGCGCTGCGGAGCCCTCACGGAAGAAGGAAAGCAAAGCAACCCACCTTCTCAGTCACTACTTGTGAAAGTCAACATCGAGACAGCCACGCCTGGGGAGGGGGAAACTCAGCCCGAAACTCCCAAATATCACTCCCTCCGGTTCCCCTCCGTCCAGATGGGTCTTTGGTGCCCGCCTGTGCTCCTTCTGTTCTTCAGCAAATCGATTAAATTATTGATAGTGGAAATTGAATGGTTCAGGTAATAATGGCATCCCCTGATTGAGTGACTCCATTTGATCTTGGTAGAGGCGGAGAGATTTCATTCTAGCTCACTAGGGTTAGCGAGAGAGCTGTATCAGACCTCTCGGGCTCTGAATGGGAATGTGGGTGGGAATCCACGAGAGGGCTTCTCAATTGCCTTGACGTGCAATGTCATATGATACCTCCGCTGCCTCTAAATAGACACTCTCCTGCACGAATTACCAGAATCCAAATTCAGTGCATTGGGAAGTGTGCATCTTTTATTAAAAAGAGTTCCGTTCCAGAGCATTGCACGCTTTTGCAGATGTTCTTTTCTCCCTGCCGTCCTACCAAACATGCATCAGGCCAGCCCTTTAGAAAACCCAAGGTAGGAAGAGAGAAGAGAATTCCTCTGGAACCTTGCTTTCAACTAGTTAGTTTGGGGAGCTTTGTGACCCCCTTCCACCGAGAAAGCCATCAGTGTCGAGGTCACAAGGGACCTAAGATGTCAGATGTTCATTCAATTAAATCAACAGACATTTACTGAGTACCTACTACATTCTAGTCTCTATGCTAGGCTCTGGGGATGCGAAAACAGTTGGAACAAACGCTCAGAACAACAACCACAAAAAAAAAAAAAAAGCCGAATGCTGCCCTCAAGGAGGGTACCTTCATCTCTTTGGAAGAGCTAAAAAGTCTTCTTTTAGCTGGCTTTTTGAGCCAGATCATTTAAGCCACCAAGAGCCTCACAGGCTCGGTCTGTGTTGGAGGATTATGTTCAGTCAACCGTTTGACGAACCTTTTCAACCCCTCCCACCCACTCCTTGGGTTGTACTTAAAGGCGATCCTGTTCCCAACAGTGAAAACAATCTGGAAGCACAGCAGAATGCTGCCTAGCTCTTCAGGGTGTGAGATAAAGAATAGTGCCCTAGTAATTTCCCCAGATTAGCCAACCTCAAATTGGTTAATGGTCAGTGAAGGGAAGGGCTTCCTAATGGATTCATTCCAAACCAGGAATCAATACAAGGCCTTTTGCATTCCAATGATGGAGCCAAGAGGAAGGTGGACTGTCTCTACCCCTACACTGGATCAGTGAACCTGCTCTACTCCTAGCTATTTTGTTCTCTGGGTGTATGATAGATAACTCAATATGCCTCCGTGGTTAAGCTGCATCAAATGTGTGATTATTCAAATATATGTATAGATCCTCAGAGAGTGTGTATGGCACATTTAGCTAGGTACCTATGTCAGTATGACTGATCATACAAGCCATACAAACAACCCAAGGTACCTATGAGGAAGAGTTTAGGTGGGCATGTTGAATGTATTTTATAGATGCTTGCTAACCAGAGTACTATAGTGCAACAAACCAAACATTTCTTCAAAGCACCCCTGGCATTGGGTCCTAGTGAAGAATTTTAAATGCTATAGATTGTGAAAGTTATTTCATTGGCCATAGTTATAGGATTTATACTATGCAAGGTTTTAAAAGTCTATCTCATTTTGTTGGGGGACCAGGGATGGATAAATTCTGCTTCAGTACTTCAAAAAATTCATAAACATGATTTATCCTGACTTAAATGTTAGCTTCAAGCATGCTTATAAATGAAGGTTGCTATTGATCTTTAAGTCTAAATTCCTCATTAGAAACCTATGAGATAGGTACTGGAGATTATTATCACCATTTTACAGAGGGGAAAACTGAAGCACAGATAATTTAAGTGGCTTGTCTCAAGTCACAGAACAAGTAAGTTTCATAGGGAATATTTGAACCAAGGTCTTCCTGATTACAGGTCGAGTATGAAGAGTCAGACATGATTGATATGAATGAACAACAAACTCTAATCACTTGGTTATACTGCCTTTCATATGAAGTAGGTGAATGTGGGCTAGTTAGAAAGCTCAGTGGAGGTTCTCAAATGGTAGTCATTAGAAGTTACACCATCTGTTCAAATCACCTTGTCAGTATCCCTGCTTTAGAAATACCATGTTCACTTCCTAAGCCTATCATGGTGACTGGAACCAGTCCTCTCCTTCCATCCCTCTCCTGATCTCATGGGAACCAATTTGCATCTGTACTGCCCAGTGTATCCTGTGGTTTTACAAGAGGGCAAGGCAGAAACATACTTGTGATGAAATCAGCAGGAATAGTATGAATATTTAACAAACAAATGGGAAATGACTTCCAATTCAAGTGAACATTACTCTGTGTCAGAAAGCAGTCCTCTCCTCCCCCCCCCTCCCCCCCCCCCCCCCCCCCCCCGTGAAATCCCTGCCGATTTCTCAGGGCCCTGACCAGAGTCTATCAAGCCAAGAAAACAATTTACTTCAAACTATTTCCCCCTGCCTATTTCCCCTTAATAGCAAATCTAAATTATATAAGGAGAACACAGGACTGCAAAGTGGGAAGAAATTTCAGTGGTCATCTGGACCAGTCCTCTTCTTACAATATGAATTCCCTTCATAGCATCTCATAAAAATTCAAAAGCCAAAGCTCTCTTTGAACACCTTTAGAAACAGGGAACTCCTAACTACCTCATGAAGCAATCCATTCCATCTTTGGATTGCACAGATTATTAGAGAGCTCTTCCTCATAAAGATCGAAAATTTGCTTCCTGCTACGTGTTGTCCATGACCTGGCAATCACTGAGTGCAGTGAGGCCATCTCCTTCTCAGTACTCTATTTATGTGTATAGTGTAGACCCTATAATTCTCTCCAATTTGTGGTGTGAAAATTTTCTACACTGATGCAGATAAAGAGCTGTCAAAATTAGAAAATGTCTAGGGTTACTGAGAGCTTAAGTGACTGGTCTGAGGTCAGCTAGTATATATCAGTAATAAGACTTGAATACAGGCCTTTTCACTCTAAGGCTGGCCCATAGACCCACTGCACCTTGCTGGCATCTCTTACACAGCAGCCTTCCTCTTAATATATTCCAAGACCGCTTCTGTGTAGATAAAATTTAAAAGTCTGTATCTCAGACTTCCCACAGATTCCTGAATAAATATTCTCCCCCTTCCATTTTACCCTAGTAGCACCTATGAATTATAGTTAAAGATTCAAGATTAAGCTTCTGACTGTCTTTTTGACCATGACGTCAAGAAAGAAAAGCACAAATTTCTGGGTCTGCCTCTTCCAGGACTAGACACATGCATGCTGGATGATAGAAGCAAAGACCTAAGAATTATATTCTGTGAGTTTATGGTCTCAACATTTTCTCCTCAGTCAAAAAAAGGGAAAGTGGCATTTTAGTGCATTAAAGCAAACAGCTCTGAGGGAAGGGGAGTTGATTTTTAATCATCTGTCAAGATCTTGCAGGTTAAACAAACAAATAAACAACTTTGCTTGCGGTTAATTCTTAATATCTGATGCTTAATGTTCCTAACCTGGTGTTTCAGAAGAGCCAGAGTCAAGAAGAAACATTTTTGGATTCTCATTCTTGCTTGTCAGGAAATAGAAATGAATCCACATTGCACAAGTGGGAATAGTGGCAGGAGGCACCAATCTGACACCAACATATTTTTTTCTATTAATAATTTTAATTGGCTGAGGTCAGTCCCACTCTCACTACAAGCATTTGATGTTTAATTATGTTTATTCAAGTCTCCTAGTTACTCCTGCTCACAATCTCCCTTGTAGAAAAGGGAAAAAAAATTGTCCAGAATCAAATGGACTTGACTTCCAAAGATGCTCCAAAGATGCTGCAAAGTTGGAAGAAGGAATGAGTGAAGAGAAATACTTTCACTCCAGTTTAGGGTCTTTCCAAACTCTAGTTTCAAATTTTCGGAAGTTAGAGTGTGCCATCCCTATATATCAGGGGTGTGGGGGGGGGGTAGGGCTGGGGGATGGGGATCATGCTTGTGTGAAACCTGCCAATGCCACAGAAGAAACTGAATGGGAAGAATTCATTAGTCTCTTCACTAAGTTAGTTTATTAGTTCTCAAACTCCTTGGGCTTGGGATCTCTTTTCACTCTTAAAATTATTGAGATCTCCTTCAAAGAGTTTTTGTTTACATAGGTTATATCTATTGATAATTACCATCTTAGAAATTATAATATCTTAGTATTATTGGGAAGATAGTTTTGACTTTGTGGACTACTTGAAAGGATCCCTGGCCAACTCTTGGAGAGCTGTTATTTTAGTTCATAGGATCATAGAGCTAGAGTCAGAAGGGGTCTTCAGGTCAGTTATCTAGTCCAACCTCCATTTTACAGATGAGGAAACTGAGGCCCAGGGTGGTCAAGTGACTTGCCCAAGGCTATATAGCTAGCAAGTGCCAAATCTGGGGTTTGAACTTTGGTTATATGACTACATCACAAGTGCCTGAAACCTAGAAGTGCTAGGTCAACGCATTTGGTGTGTTAGCTGGTGCTGTCCAACAAGGTTGGTGTTTATGTGCTACTCTATCACAACAGATTTTTCTCTACTCTTGTAACTCCAAGTACAACTCTATTGCTGGATAGCACTGACAGCCACCTGGCCTGGAGGGCAGCCTCAAGGTGCAACAAGGAAGCCAGAGTTCAGGATGTCCACAAAAGAGAGGCAGAGTAATGACAACCCTTGGGAATCCTATCACCGCAGTCACAGGTTTTAAAACTGGATGGAACCATAGATATCATCTAGTTAGCCCGATCTCCTCATTCTACAGGTAAGGAAAGTTCCTCTAGTGATTTGTCCAAAGTTATGCAAGTGAACGTAAGTTAGTAATACCTCGCTAGTAAGTGGTGAGCTAGCATTTAAAGCCAGGTCTTTTGATTCTAAATTGAGCATTTCAGACTGACTCTGAGCCTCAAAGGTCTGCGAACCATGAGGATCTCACTCCATTGGGTAGTGGCCCAACTCTGTGTTGAGACTAAGAATTTCTCTGCTTAGCATCCAGCCTTATTCAGGAACCTCTGGGATTCTTATGCTTTTTTATTACTTTTATCTTAGTCACTTTTAAGCCATCAAGTCACTTGTGTGGGTTTCTATAGCAGAAGAGGATTGTTTTGTTTTTATTTATTTTTTCTTTCCACACAATCTGATTCAAGAGAGATGAAGTCTGGGGAGGGAATGGGTGGGGTGAAGGTCACATGCCCCAAGTCACCAATAGGTGGCACTGGTCAAAGGA